ATCTGCACTGCAGCTACTAAAGTTTCGGGAACCTCTGTAATAAATGTTAAGAAAAAGACCTATGATAGTAATTACTCATTTTGAAGAAAAAAAAATAAGTGCAAGTCATGTCTAACCAACTTGAGGTTTTAAATGGCAGAACATAAGTTGAAAAAGAAATGAGAAAAATTAGCATTAATATCAACTTTTAATAAATACACATTTCAGCTACTACAAAATAGTTTATTATTTTGGTTACAATACATTGTACCTCTAGGAAATACCCTCCAAACAGATCTGTTACACTGAAATATATACTCAGAGGACTTCAGCACCAGAAGAGATCTTAAACATGCATAGTTTTATAGAATTAAGTTTTACTGATCTTCCATAGTAAAACTTTTCCAAATAATTTATATTAGCTATATTTTATCCCCAAAGTTTTAAAACTGTTTACCTGTTTTTATTCTTTAATTCTGTCTACCTTTGAACACAGAATAATATTCCTTTCCCTTCCGACTATCACTTATTAGGAACTATGTTAAAATCATGTCAATGGACAATTCTAGTAAAGAATCACCATACCCATCAAGAGGCAAAATACATGGCACAGTATTTTAGCTATAGCCACTCATAGATTCTCAGTTTGAGTTTTTAAATAAATGTCCTTTATAATCCTCTGAAAGCAAGATGGACTAATACAAAATGTAAAACTTGAATTGTCAGATTTATACTAATGCAATTTTAATACATTTTCCTTATTCGTTTTATTATTATTTGATTTAGTAACTGTAAAATAACCTGATAAATTCCTATTGGTTGTTTTTACATTGAAGACAAGTGGAAACCCCTCCATATATGCAACAAGGGCTTTAGAGAAACCTAAGTTAGAGCAAGATCGTGGGACAGGAGGAAAGTCAAGGGAAATAGAGGAAAGAGCTGGGAGGCAAAGGGCATTTACAGAGGTCTAAATAAAGACATGTACATTTGCAAATATATCTATATATCAAGATGGGGAAATAGATCTATGTGCCTATATTTATACGTTTAGTATTAAGGTAGCAGAAGGACATTGGGCCTCCACTCAAGTACTCCCTCAA